CACTTAATGTTATTAAAGGTAAAAAAACAAAATTGAAATTTATTAGATAATTATTAATTAAAAAATGTGACCACAAATTAAAAAATTAAAATGGATAAATTTGTAAATAAAATTAAAAAATTTTAATTCGTTAATGATTTAGTACAAAAAGTTACATAAACTAACTTTTTCAATCCGCTAACGGTTTGGACTCTAACCGCTATCCGCTAGTCTCAAACCATTAAATAAAAATTTTACGAAACACTTTATTTGTAACAGTTTCGAAATATATAAATTTACCAAATACTTATATTTAGCGGTTTAAGTAAAATCATTAATCGCTACTTCAAAATCGCTATACTAAACGAGGACTAAATCCATTAATTTTTAAAATTTTTAAATAATATTTAAAAATATTAATTTATTAATAAATAAATATTAATAATTTTAATTAATGATTAATAAAATTATTAATTATTTTTATCAATTAAATTAAATTACAACATTATCCCCGTGTTTTTCATATTCACCAGTGAGGTCCAACGCAACAGGCAGGAAAGGGAGAGACCGCTGACGCCCTTTGATGAATATAATAAGAAATAAAATAAATTTGTAATTCGCAATGTAAAAGCATCAGCAACAGGATTCTCTGCTTTCCATAATACAAAATTCTATTATATTTTATCCTTCTCTGTCTTGTTTCTTGTCTCGTAGTGAACTTGGTAGCAACCACCGAGAAGAGAGAGAGAGAAAGAGTGAAGAAGATTACCGACGGCGAAACACCATGGCTACCGACTTCAAAGCCATCCCCATAATCGGTAATCAAAATCCCAACTTCTGTTTCCCAGATTAAGGGGGTCCTAAATTGTTATTACTCCGTTCAAGGTCTAAGCTTGATTTGATCAGGGTTTACAAAGTTTTCATCTTGCTGTCTGAGAGTCAAAATTTATGCCTATTTTAGTGATGAAAATACTGAAAACAAGATATCTTACTAAAGTAAAGAAGTTAGAAAAAGGTTCTTTTTCTGAATTTTCTGTTCACATTCAGATATTGCTCCTTTGTTGGCCAAGTGGGATGATCCAAAAATGGCTCAAGACCCAGGTGTATGTGAAGTTGTTAAACAATTGGACCAGGCTTGCAGAGAGGCAGGCTTCTTCTATGTGGTACCTTTCAACACATTTCCTTCTTGTTTTCAATAGTTAAGTAGTTTGACTGTGATGATCACATAAGGATAATTAGCAAAATGAAAAAGGTGCAAGATTCTCTTTGTTTCGTAGAGAATATAGTGGTGAGCTTTAAGAAGATGTAGAACACTAAAATCTTGGTTGGGTGGCGGAGGAATGATATTTGTTTTCACTAATACCTTAAAGAATCTAAGATGTTTGTAATTCGAGTTGTTTTATATATGTCCAATAATTTTAGAGCTAAAAGTCTGAATATGATAAAAATTGTAATCAAGCTTTATGTGACGCTGATAGTAACAGAGCGGCCTCAGGCCTCTTATGCATGTCAATTTCTCTGATGTTCTGAGTTTCTTGGTGCTATTAATACAGGAAAGTTGTTTAGTTTAAGGTGCCTTGGTGGTTTAGGCCAGAGTTGATAAGCAATGGGTTGTTGCATATACTTTTAACTTGCAATTTGCAATTGTTGTTAATCTGCTTTGTTGAAGATGCCTTAAAACTCAAATCCTGATTATTTTGTTCCATTGAAGTAGCGTTATGGTACCCTCAAGATTTCAAAGAAGAATTGATTTGGTAGGAAACCCTAAGTCACTTCCTTTTCTGATGTCTTTGCCCAATAACCAATCAAAACTAAAGTTTCATTGCCCTTAACTTCAATTGATTCTCTTAAATCTTAATGACATGTTGCTGAATATTTCAACCTCTATATTTTGTCATTGACCAGAAGGGTCATGGTATTCCAGAGTCCCTCATCAGGGAGGTTAGAAGCATCTCACACAAATTTTTTGAGCTTCCATATGAAGAAAAACTCAAGATCAAGATGACTGCAGCCACTGGATACAGGTCTGCTTACTGAAATAGCATGAGTATATGTACTTTGTAATCTCTACCAGTTTAATCTCATCAATGAAATCCATAGATGTAATTTGTTTGGTAGGCTAATGTTCTAAATGCAGGGGATACCAGAGAGTTGGTGAAAACATAACCAAAGGTGTGCCAGATATGCACGAAGCTATTGATGTGCGTATTACTTAACTGCTTGATGATTTTTTTTTTGTTTTGTTTTGGCCTTCAACTGTTTTATGATTTAGCATTTCATTTTTATGTTATAGTGGGAATTTCTAGAGTTGCTAAACTTTGCTTTAGAAATTATCTTTAAGAGTGGTTTATTGTACTTGTTGCATGCACATATCAAACTATGAGTTATAAGTTTAAATTTTTATTGGAGGAAAAATTTAAAAGTTGCTTTTAGAAATAATAAGAATTGAGTAAGAAGTGAGTAAAAAGGAAGTTATAAAAAGCAAAAGTTTGAAGCTTTTCAAAATTCATTGTTTAAGGTCTTTTTAAGGTTAAAAAGAAGTTAAAAAATTCAAGTTTTTAAGAGAGAAATTTAAACTTAAGAAACATGAATAGTGTCAAAAGGCTGAAGCACTTACAAGCTTCACCAAACATGCTCTATATCTGCTTGATTCTTTAATTTTCACATTACAGTTCTTTTCTTGGTAAATTATTTCATATTAT